CTTCCCTCACAGTCCTACTGTCACAGTCACACTGCAAAAGGAATTATAGCTATTGAGAACCTCCAACTTCTTCTTGCAATAGTCAAAAAAAAAGTGCACATTAAATATCAAACTGCAGCATGAGATGTCTATAAGCACTGCTAATGAGGTGCATTCACACTAACTTATCAAAAGGAACTTTGTTTTTGCTTTTAAGGTGCCTTACTCACCTTTCCAAGAGCCTGGGTGAAATTTTTACCCTTTAGTATTTAAATGTATTATAGGAAAACTCAACTGATGCCTGTGTCAGAGGCTGGAAGAAGCAGCAGCTTTCTGAGCATCTCCATAAAAGCAATTGCGAACTGTAGATTAAATGAATCCAAAGTTATGTTCTGTGTATGAGCCTTTTTGTGAACCTAAACCCAAATGTGACACAAGGTCAGGAATTTCCTAATTAGTGAATAAATTATTTAGAAGAAGAAATTGATAAACACAAGTGACAAAAATAATTTCTGCTGCTAAAATTATCACAGAAATAAGTAGTTAAATCTCCTGAACTCAGTTTTCCCCTCATTAAATTTGGTCTAAATCAAAATGTGCTGCTCAAGAGCTGAAGAAAAAAATGTTTTAGTGAATAATTTTTACATGTCTTTAGCACATTCAAAAATCTAGAGACACAGAGAGAGCAAATGGAACAAAAATACTTTATAAGTAAAGAAACAGGATCAAATTTTAGATCCTTTCTATCTGCTTATTGAGATGTACAGTTTCTCTGAATGACAGTGACCATGACAGAGTTGATCTGGATTAACAAACCTCTTGAAAGGAAAAAAAAGTCTTAAAAAACAATACTGAAACAAAAAAAAAAAAAAAGTGACCAATCAGTTTTGAATGGATGCTAATAATACACATTTCTGTGAAACACAAACAGCGTTCAGTGTGAGCATGAGCTTGGAGAAAAAAGAATTTAAATAGGATACATATCTATTGTGTAAGCAGTTTAATGGGTCTTACTTTAAGCCTTGTTGATCTGGCTTGGGCAAAATACACCATCAGACTACATCAGCAGGTACAGAAGTGGAGCAAGCTAATCCTGGAAAGGAAGCCTTTATAGTAAGAACTGTTGTGAATTTTACAGAAATTTACTCTGTCAACCGCTAAAGTGCTAAACGATCTTTTTCCTTCGGAAATTTTCCTGCGGAAAAAGATGGTTGCAACTAGGATACAAGTTTACATCATTTTAATGACAATGTTTACAGGTAAATATTTTATTTTTGTGAATTTGAATGTGCGCTTAGACTGTATTAAATGTGTAGAACCTATCCAGATTGCTTGCTTGTAGTTTCTTGATATTTATTTAGTGTCAGAGGACTGGAAAGGCAAAAGGCTAATTCTAACCAAAGATGTGTATCAAAAATGTCATTTGGATAATACTTTTATAATTGTTTAATCCAAAGGAAAATCAGTGACATTCAGCAGAATTGTGCATGAATAATTGCTTTTGTCATCCTGCTTCTACAGGAAATCTTTGCTGCTAAATTTGAAAGAGAGAGTTTAATTAAGAGGTTAACAGTTAGAAAATAGCCACCATATAGTAATAATGTGTAACTGAAAAAAGGAGAGAGATGAGTGATGCTATCAAACTGAATCGAAGGAACTGTTTCATCTCTGTTTTGAAAAAAAACTTCACAGGTGGGAAAAGTAATCATCTTTAAAAATACTCACATTATCTGAAATTTTATGTCAGAGTGTAATATATTTACAAGAGAAAATGCTGTATGATTCTACTTTACTTTTTCCCTTAAAAACATGAATATGCTTAGCTGAGTTAATGCATGTAACCACTGGAAAAAAAAGATTGCCTTTGCACTTGTTTTGGTATGTCTTACATCTTTTGAGAATATTTTTTTACATGCTAATGTCTCCAACCTGAGAACTGCTTATTTGAACTGCTTGTACAGTTCTATAAATATTGACTAATCCTTTTATCTAGAATGCTTTTATCTTGACTGACAGTGGTCTTTGCTTGCATAGCAATCGGCAGATAACAAGCAGTATCAACACCACTTGCAAGAACAGCTGATTTATTTATTCTTGATATGAAAAAAGTGACTTATTATTTGTCTTTTGGTGTGACCTATATTTGTGTTTGTGCTAATCTTATTATTAAATAGTAGGCATATATATTTAAGTGCATACACGTGTGTATCTGTATGCACAACCTGATAAAATATATATTTGGCAATGTATTTTTAATATAATTACTTTTAAAATAAGCATTGTGTTGAGACACTGAAATGACGATGAAATCTATGTATTTAGTCACTTTTTATGTAATAACTGATACTATTCATTTTCTGTAGACAAAGAACAAAATATAATAATAATAGTAAGTGTATCTCCTCATAAAACTAATTTGATTTCTTTGTTAGACATTGATGATTCCTTTTATTAAGTGTCTTATCTAAATTTAAAGATAGAAATACATATGATTTTTTTAAAAATTCAGCATTCTCATTCAATAATTTTGTTAATTTAATGTCCTGTCTGTTGAAGTAGAGAGCAACATAGACACTAAAGATTATTTAAAGGTAAATGCATCAGTGTCATCCTTTCCACATTGCAAAGTGTGACTCAGACCACAAGTTACAAGGCAAAGGGAATGTCTGACAGGTGCTGTGGGATAATAAACACACAGAGAATCACCACACACTACTGAAAATGCAATAACTAAGGATCTAGCCATTCAAAGATCTGATTTTTTAATGAAAGGTTTCACGGGGACTCCCAGTCTCTAAATCCTTGAGCACAGTCTGTCCACTCTGAAGCCCTATGACAAGGCTAAGCACAACCTGATCCAGCTGCTTGTGGGCTGGAGCAATTTTTATCTTTGACATAAAAACCCCAAAGAGACTTTCATTTCTACAGCCATCAAATTAAAGCCGAGTTGTATAAATGACCCAAGGACATATTGTTCTCGATGTCAGAGCAGGGAAGGGAGCAGTATCAGGCAGCAGATGTACTAAAACATCGACCAAAACAGGAAACAGCTCACAGTAACTTCACTTTTCATATAGAGGAACAGCAAAAGCAGGACAAGTTGCTAACACTGAAATTGCCACAAACTGGACAAAGCAGACGTGGCTGTGGCCCCCAGTCAGGAGCAGTTTGGGAACTGCACTTCACTTGGAGAAAGTCAGCCCCAATGAGTCACATTTCTGCCAGATGCCACTGCTCATTAAGGTATACACAGACACCTCTCATGGAATAAAGATGAGCCTGGCTGGAAACAGAGAGAGACTGCTGCAGCAAAACCCACTGCCAGGCCAGGGAGATGGCACTAGCTGTGCTCCATAGCCTGAAGCTTCAAGGGGAAAGTCAGTGTATGCTTTAATTGAGGACTGATGAGTGACTTGGATTGCTGCACAGAGAGTCTTTTGTGTACCTGCTATGACCACTTCACTCTGGCTAATCTTTTAAACAAATCACTCCCAGTTCCCTCAGTTCCCTCCTGGCTCTCCTGTACTTACCACTCTCCCAGATGGGTCCAGTTACAACTCTGACTCAATAAAGTGGACAGGCAAGGGACTAGCCTGAGCAACTACACTAATCTACTGCCTTTTGAAGCATTTCATTGGCTGAATGCTGCTCTGTAATTTTCCATGAGGAATGGCTGTGTTTTGTTATAAAGTCTGATGTGAATTTGTACATAAAGCTAGGTGTGGTACCTGGCACACCCAGCTGCCACTCCATGAGCCTCAGAACATCTGATCATTACCTGATTTACAGGCAGTAGTTTTGCTGTAGGGATGGATGAAAAGTTATCTATTTAATTTGTGCTGGTGATACTAGTTTGAAAACTAAAAAAATGTTTCTCATTTTTCTCTAAGATAACTATGAAGGGAAGTGGAAATGTTAAGAACTGCACTGAGCATAAGTTATCAAAAAGAGTATTTGGATATTTTGAATGCTTCCAAGGGAGATGAGAAACAGATTTTCCCTGATCCACTGCATGTTTATCGGTCACTTGATTGCTCAAGGGAGAGGTTACTGTAATTACTGCTTTATAGATGAACAACAGTGCAGAGGGGTAAACAGGTTAGTTTTACAAGAGGAACAGATTTGGTTTTGTTTGTGAAGTGTGATCCAGCAGACCCACTTAGACCACATCTATCCATTTACAGTGGAGCTGAGATTAGGAGTTCTCCTTTTACCAGATATATCAGAAGCCAAGCATTATATGGAAGAAGAGGAAAACTGTGTTGACCATCTCCTGCAGAAGCACTCTTATCACCAATCAACCTCTGATATATTTGAGAGAATATTCCTTTAATCTCACCTTGCTTTATATTTTGTAAGAGGAGAGGTAAAAAAGCTCCCCTTTGGTACATACTTTTTGCAGTATATATGTTTTGCAGGCATGTTCACCCACTTGTAGCCTGACCCACCATGTCAGTATCACCTATGACTGTCACTTGAAGAGTGTTGCTCCAAGATGTTTCAAATGGGACCAGGAATAATTTGTCTGTAGTTCTGACACTGTTTGAATGAACATGTAAAAGGAGGAATGACCAGCAGATCATCCTCCAGCTGACCCCCATACTATATTATAAATAGGAATTAAGCAACAGCTCTTGAAATTTTTCTATGTGATAATTCAGTTCCTTACAAAGCATTCTAAATTTCTACCATAGGATATGTGGGAAACAATTTCTTGATCCCATCTGATGATGTTTATCTTAATTTCATCACATTATCCATATCAAAACTGTGCATTTGTTTGGTTCTTTTCTCCAAAATGTGGTTATCAGTCAGGTGTTTACATAATAATTTGCACAAGGAAACCATGACAATTGAATAGCCTTTTTATATTTAAAGTATATTTTTTTACTTGTCCATCATCTATTTATCAAGGCATTCCCCTCTAATAAAAGATAATTTAATAAAATACATTATTAAAAGTGTTATTTTGGGCTGCAGTTATTCAAACCGGAATGCCTAATTCTTTGTTTATTCTTCAGGTACTCACTGTGATGAAGACGTCAACGAATGTTACACAAACCCTTGCCAAAATGGTGGGATCTGTGAGAATTTTCCTGGAAATTACACTTGCCATTGCCCACCTGCAGACAAAGAAGGAATTTTTTATGGTGGCTGGAACTGTACAGAAGTTCTGCATGGCTGTACTGATCATCAATGCCAAAACAATGGAATATGTATCCCACATTTAAAAAATGGCCAACATGGATTCAGCTGCATATGTCCACCTGGGTATACTGGAATACACTGTGAAACCATAACCACATTTTCTTTTCAAGGAAACAGTTTCCTTTTGTTGAAGAATTCCCAGACCCATAAAAAGGATTTTTTCTATAATATAAACCTGAGGTTTCAAACTGTGCAACCCACAGCTTTTCTGTTTCACCGAGGGGAGAAAAACACCTTTGCAAAGTTGGAATTACTGAATGGCTACTTACACTTATCCGTGCAAGTCAATAATCAGCCACAGGCTCTTTTGCATATCCCACATAATGTCAGTGATGGAGAATGGCATTCAGTGGAGGTAACCTTGGCAAGAGCTGTTATTCTTAATTTGCTTGACAGCTCTTGTGTAGAATCCTGTCTCAATAAAACATCTGCTAAGATAGATAACGAGCCGGTGATGTTTGCGTTTCAGAGCACGTATTTGGGCGGCTTACCAGTGGGGAACAGCAACCCTCTACAGAACACCTTTAATACACATTCTGCACCTTCATTTGTAGGCTGTCTTCAGGATGTTGAGATAGACTTGAATGTTATTACTCCAGAGAATGTATCATCTGGCTCATCTTTAAATGTCAGGACAGGATGTGCTAAAAAGGACTGGTGTGACCCCCACCCGTGCCAGAACAGGGGACGCTGCATCAACCTGTGGCTGAGCTACCACTGCGACTGCTACCGGCCCTACACGGGGCCAGACTGTGCAGCAGGTAAGGGACAAACACTGCTCTCTGAGCTTGATGTGCTGCTGAAAACATGGCCAGAAGCCAGCCTGTTCACCTGGTGGTGAAACAGTGTGGCCCTTAGGATCTCTGGGGCTTAATGTCAAGTGGTAAGCCAGTGCAAAAAGTTAGTAGTGGCACACCTTTGTTATTTTCTAGTTACTTTCCAAGAAGGCTGCTTATCAGCCTGACCAAAAAAAAAAAAAGAAAAAAGAAAAAAAAGTCAGGCTAAACTGGTGGATTCCACTCCTTGTTTTAAACTCTTCTCAGTGCCCTTGACACTCCATAAACTCTGAAAAAACTGTAGTACTCTGGATGCTGAGTAAAATTTAGCAAGCAAGCAAGTTACCTGGAGTTTAAGACTTATTTTCAAAGCATTCTTTGAAAATTTTATCTTCAAGCTCTCTAGGTTTTATAAAGAGATTCATTTAAGGCAATGAAAGGCAAGCAAAAATACTGCAAGTTAAAAAAAGACAGATTCCAATTTAAAAGAAATGAATGAGATTATACTCTTAGCTTAATCTGATTAGCCCAAGGAGCAGGCAGGGCTGAAAGCAGCTGGAAACAGAGTCCATTCATCCCTCAGCTGGTCCCAGAGTGGGGCTGGACAATCCCCAGTGCAGGCTGCTGTTCCCAGAGAGCTGCATGGGGACCAGAGGGAAACATAGCCCTGTCTGGGTGAGCAGAAAAGCTCATCTCAGCAAGCAGCTCCCATGGCAGTGGGGAGCAGGAACACAAAAGCTGCAGATGCCTGTAGCACTTTCCCTGCTACAAATGATCTTTGCAGTGCAGGATGGGGCAAAGTGGAAGGACAACAGGAGGTTCCTGTCCAGCTCCCTTCTGCATCTGCTGTGTGATCTCCTAGAGCTGTAAATACAGCAACCCTCTGGAATGATTTGGGCTGAGCTGTGTAATCCTTCCCCAAGCAAAGTTTAAGGGATTTCAAACAAGCAGTTTTGTTTAAGAAAATTGCACAGGACTAAGTCTTCATGCCGTGGCCTTGCCTCTGCCTCCCTTATCCACACACAGTCAGCAGAGCAATGTTTAGGGAGCAAGAAATATAAACGTACATACACGTGTACACACATAAGTATGTTTATGTAGATGTATTTGGCATGTGGACTGAAAAAATTAAACACAAAAGCAAAGCCATGGTCAGATTGGAATGGACAGATCCTAAACTGGTGTAAACTGGCATGGCTGCAGTGCTGCCAGTGAAGTTACATTGATTCACATCAGCTGAACAACTGGCCTCAGGGGTTATTGAATGTATTGCTGCAGAAAGCTGGGCCTTCAAATACATTTCAAATGTTTGAATACAAGTTCATTTTGCATGCTCTACCTAATACTTATCAATACCTTTCAATAGTTTTTCCTTTTGGTTTTATTGCAAAATGACAAAGTCTGAGAGGTAATTGTAACAGACTTCTTTGAAGTGTAGCTGTAATTTATCCAAAGATTTGGAAGGCAACTTTTGAATATAGGACAACATCTGGGAAATAAGTTTGCCTTCTTATATGAAGCAAAATTAAAACCATTCAGGGCCAGGAGCAGCTTATACTGGCATTAGAACTGTTGAGAATGATTAGAAAGCATGCTTTTTTTCATTCCTGCTGACCACAATATTCCTTGCTAATCATGGCACTGTGCCATTTGGTACATAGGCTGTAGATATATGTCACATGTAAAAGACTGTGGCAGGTTTCTAAAGAGGCAGAGTGGCGGAGGCTTGTGGTAAAGGATGACATAAGAAATGCTGGTGTCTTTCTGAAGAAAAGCTGCTGCCAAGTATTTAATTGACAAGACGCAATATTTTCTCTACATATACAAAATAACAAACAGATGTTGACTCATTTTGATCAACATCCAGATGTTGTGACCCAAGAGGTTAATATTGACCAAGGTGATGCTAGTCATCTCATCAAACAGATCAGGCTGACGATATATGTGTATGTTTATAAATAGAGAGAGATGTGACAAGGTAATTGTAAACATGAAATCCCTTTCTGGAGATCAAGGCTTCTTTCTAATACTGCAGTTGTGGAACCCTCAGTTCAGCAGAATTTTTCTTTTTACCCTCATGAAAAAAGTGTCTCAGTCTCCAGTACAACCTTAAGAGAAGATACAACTTAAAACTCTTGTATGTAGAAATAATTATTTGTTGAAACTGTTGCTTTGAGGAATTAAGTCTGTTTAACAAGTAGATGTAGATATATAGACATTCTTATTCATAGAAATAAACTATTTCAAATTAAATTAAGAAATTGTCTGTTTAGGAATAAGTATGGGATTTATTCCTATTGCTAAATAATATGACCATACCCCATAGCAGTGCAGTGGTTATTAAGGGTCTGTTTGGGATTCATAGTCAGTCCCTTATTTTCATCATTTTTTTAATGCAGTCATAAAAAAAAGTAGTTTTGCAGGCAGAAAGTTGGCCCATGACATCCTGCTCCAGGAGCTTTACTGCACAACAGACGACTGAATCTTCAGAAGTGTGAGCATTTAAAAAACACTCGGTTTATTTTTTCTAGGAATTTGATATATAAAAAATAGCTCCTGAAACTGTTTAGGCAGGAAGTCTGTAATATTGAGGACAAGATCACAAAACTTATTGTAAAAATAGAAACACTTAGTTGTTCTTTAAAGAAATTATTAATCAGAATAAAATAATAGTTTTGGCTACATATTTTGTATCCTTAAAAGACTGAAAATCATTACTGAAAATAAGGGGTGAAGGACAGACAGATGGTTTTGGTTTAATCATTTTAATTGATAAGCACAAAGAAAAGAAAACTTACTTGGTCCTGGATCATGTTTCTCCCATGGCTCTGTGGGAACTCAGGGACTGAGCAGGATTCATGGCTGGATACAAATTGATGTAGGTGAGCATATGTTGAGCCCCAGCAACAAAAGGTCTGTCAGAGAACTGGGGAGCCCATGCAGCGCCACACAGGTGATCTATTCACACAAGAGGGCTTTGCCCAGCAGCTTTCTGTGATTGGAATCTGTGCAAAAGATATCACAAAATCTCAGAACTGCATTAACTTCCAAAGCAGGAGGATCAAAGCAGGTAGGTTCTTTTCAAAATGATCTTTCCGAGGATCAATGCAGAAAACTGTATAAATTTGTCCTTGTTTTACTACTTGAAAACACAGCATTACACAGGGCATGATAGAGAGGAAAAATGTGCCCAATTATGTAACATCTGGTCTTGCACTGGGGCTTAATGCTACAGCCATGGAAGCCAACAGGAATTTTGAAACAGAAGCTGTTTACAGTTGGACCAAGTCTTTGTCCATCCATAAATACAAGCATATCTTACTACCATACATAAATATCACCAGAACTAGTTATTTAATCATTGCATTGGCTCCTTTGTAATTTATTTTATTTTTCTCCCTTCTCTTCTTTTTTTGTTTTTTTTTTTTTACCTTTTCCCATATCTCTAAACTCAAGAGTACATTCCAGGCCGGTTTGGATCCGAGGACTCCTCAGGCTATGCTGCTTTTCCTGTTGGTTCCACTCAGAATGAGAACTTCATCATATCAATGTTTGTCCGAACACGCAAACCTTCTGGCTTGTTACTGGCTCTGAGGAATAGCACTGACCTCTACATAAGAGTCTATTTGGAAGGTGGGAAACTGACCATGCTAGCTCTAAATTCCATGAAGTTATTAGGGAAACACTCAGTGAACGATGGAAACTTTTACTTAATAACCTTAAAAATAGAACCAAATAAGATGGAGTTATTCCAGTCCTCTCACTACCTAGGCTTTATTTCTACTCCAGCACTAACCATCCAAAATAAGGATACTCTTTACATTGGAGGCCTACCAGATAGCAAAGAAACTGACAGAAATGGCAGGTATTTCAAAGGCTGTATCCAAGATGTAAGAGTGAATAACCAGCCGCTGGAATTCTTCCCCATCACCAATCCACCAAATTCTCTTATCAACCGAACACTGATCAACGTTACCCAAGGCTGTACTGGTGACAACCTCTGCAAGGTAAGAATGACATTTTTCAGAGCATTTTCACATGCTTATAATGGGGAACGTTCTTCCATGTTTTTAGTACATTCCCACACATTATTTGATTATAATGACAGATTAGAAAAACATGCAAAATGCTAGAAAGAGCAGGTTTTGTTAAGCTATGCTCCATATGATGAGTATCAGAAGCAAAATATATTTGCATAGGGGAGAATAAAACTATTTTGAGATTGGAATACTGTTTTTCACTAATTATTGAACATGCTGTACTGTCACAATACTGGTCTTTATAATTTTCCATCTGAAATAGAAAGAAAACTTCTTTTTGCCTCATAGTCCCCCATGCCTAGAGTTGGGTTTCCAACAGCCTTGATTCATACTGAGGTTCTCTCTTCTCTTTCCCCATAGTCCAGCCCTTGCCACAATGGTGGTGTGTGCTATTCAATCTGGGATGACTTCACTTGCACGTGCCCCCCTAACACAGTGGGGAAGGCATGTGAGGAAGTTAAGTGGTGTGAGCTTGGGCCCTGTCCTCATGAAGCACAATGCAAGCTGGTGCACCAAGGATTTGAATGTAGGTACATTTCAGTTGTTCCAATCATCTTTGGAGAGCGGCAACAATAAACATTTTCAGCAGCATTTCCTTGAAACAAAGTATTAACTAGTTGTATTCTTAGCTACAGGATAAACAACTTCTTGTTCAACACAGGATAACAAAATAAAAGCTTTCCTGGACAGTGAGTTCTCTGCCTTGTGTCTTCTGCTAAAAAAAAACAAAAAAAACAAAACAACTTCAGTGCTTTTGTGAGACATTTCAAAAAAACAGGAATAATCTTGAAAAATTCTGACTTTCCTTTTAGCATGATTTCCTCTGAGGAAATTTTTCCATGAGAAAGGCACCAGATTTGATGCACCAGGAAATGCAGTTGTACCTCTACTGCCTTGGCATCAGGATATGAAGTCAGGATATTCCTACTAGGACTCCAGATTCTTTTCCTCAAAATTTACTAAGTCCAGAGATAGTTCAGAAACCCATCTTATCTCAGATCTTTCAAAGCCATTTTTAAATGAAGTACAGACAGAAGACATTCCTTCCTGTCCCTCCTCCCTGTCTAAAATCCTCAGGAATTTCAGAACATTTACATTTACAACCCAATGAGCAAGTGCATTTTAGTAGAAACCGTGCTAATGAAAGGTGTCAAATACCTTTGTGAAGATGTCCATAAAGCTGCCACAATGTTGCCCATCAATTTTCACTCACAGCAGTGCGAGCTGAGTTCTGCTGCCCTCCCAGTCCCACCTGCACAGGGCTGTGGCAGTGCCTGCACACCAGGAGAAGCTGGCTTTGAATGTGACAGGCACAACTCTGCTCACAGGGATTTTGAAGGAGCTTTCCATCAACTGACTTCCATTAAATTCATCCTTTTGCATTGGTGAGATAAAATTGGGATCCAATTAAATACTTCATAAAACATCTTAAGACTCACCCAAGAAAAAAGGAATTGGGAAGAAATATTCACCCATCCATGGGTAATGACTAGGCTGCCTGTAATTAGGAAACAATCATACAGTGACAAATGTATGCCCTTTTTGAAACAGAGAGATAACAGTAATGTAGAATTGTATGTTAGAGTGATACCCTGGGATGATGCAAAGCAGTACACTTTGGGTGTGATTATAGCTGATGCTGGTGCTGCCCTGTAATTGCCATGAGGGGCAGACCAGGATAACCAAAACACTGGTGGAATTTGACTGTTTTCCAGCAAACCCAAAGCAATTATATAGCATGTGCACTGGAGAGACATCTTTCCACGTGTATAAAACTGGCCTGGTTTCTCGATTGCTGTCTTTTCACAGGTCTTGCTAACGCAGTGTTCAGCGGCCGGAGCAGCGCAATATTTTACAGAAGCAACGGGAAAATCAGCAGAGACCTCACCAATATCGTCTTTGGCTTTCGAACCAGGGACACTGACGTGATCCTGCTGTATGCAGAGAGGGAGCCTGAGTTTGTCATCATCAGTATCCACAACTCCAAACTCCTGTTTCAATTACAAAGTGGCAACAGTTTCTACAGGCTGACCCTGGCGAGTTCAGTGCCTGTGAGCGATGGCAAATGGCACCGAGTGATGGTCTCTATGGTGGAGCCCCTGTCCCAGTCCTCCAGATGGTACATGGATATCGACAGCAAGAGAGACACGGCAACCAGCACAGCTGCTGCAGGAAGCCTCAACTTTTTAAGAGAAGAGACAGACATCTATGTGGCTGACAAGGCTTTTGACAGCCTGGATGGCCTGCGAGGGTGCATGAGCACCATAGAAATCAGTGGTATTTATCTCTCGTACTTCGAAAATGCTGACATCCCTACTAAAAAACCTCAAGAGGAGCAATTTCTCAAAATATCTGCAAACCCTGCTCTTACTGGCTGTTTGGAGGTAGATTTCTGCAGCTCTGACCCCTGTATGCATGGGGGGATATGTGAAGACTTTTACACTTCCTACCGCTGTGTATGTCCTGATGGATGGACTGGAACCTACTGTGAAGTCAACATTGATGAGTGCTCTTCAAACCCCTGCATCCATGGGAACTGCACAGATGGGATTGCCTCCTATGAGTGCAGCTGTGAGCCTGGTTACACCGGGGAGAACTGTGAGGAGGACATAGACGACTGCCATGGCCACCAGTGTGTGAATGGGGCCACCTGTGTTGATGGGATTAATGGATACTCCTGTCTGTGTGCTGCTAACTTCACAGGCAGGTTTTGCAGGTACTGTAAACAAGGCTGATCTGTGTGATTTTGTCAAGTATCTTCCGAAGGGCTTTTATATCACTGATGTCTTTGTTTTAAGCACAGATGTTTTGTATCTGTCTCTGTATTAATCATGGCTGCAGACTCGATGTATGAAGAGTACAGAAAGTTGTACAGATCAATTAGATGTGGAGAGCTGCCAGCTCAGGCAGAGACTGATGAGACAAGGACTGAAGGAACAAGGCACAGCTCTGTTGCCCTGATCTGCTGTCGACATTGGGCCTGTGAGCTCTCTGATGACAAGATTACAAGTCTTCCAGATCCTGAAAATACATGTGCTACATCTTCTTTTCAGAAAAAAAAAAAAATCTTAAGGCTTTTAAATCTCTAAAACAATATTTTATTAGAGTAATAGGACTCTAGAGCTATAAATAGAGGAATTCAGAGTTGGTAAGAGAAAATAACAATAGAAAATAAGTTGGTTTTTTCCCCACCCAAAGCATCTTTTCTGGGCTGGTCTTTTCCTCCCAGCGTACCCTTAGTCCCGATGGCTGCAAACACCACACAACCCACTTTTGCCATTGCTTCTGACACTGCTCATATGCTGTTTCCTATTCCTCCCAGACTCTCCTCTAGAAAGGCTGCAGACTTTTCCCTTTAATTGCCCTTCTCTGCACACCCATAAAATTCTGCCCTCTAAGCATGTCCGATTCCTCTCCAAGAAGGCAAAATCCTTCTCTTTCCTTCAGAGGACTCCAGCAAATCCAGTCTGCTGCATCCCAAAGGATGCAGACGGACAATCATCTTCATGATACCCAACTACAGTCTTTTAGGATATAATTACTAAAATTTACAGGTTTTGTTGACTTTTTCTAAATAGCGAGAACATCCTCAGATTTGAAGATGCCTTATGGTGACCCAATATTTTTTATCTTTTGAACTCTTATAATAAGCTGTCCAGGTATCACACAAAACCACATTAGTAATGTAAGTAGAGTGATTTCCATTTTTTTTAATGGTAAATGAATCATAAATTTGCCAGTAAATATTTGAAAAAGAAAAATTAAATTAATCAAATTTAAAAAGTTAGGCAAAACATGTTCTGGGAGTCTTAAATCCGAGTTCCAGCTGTCATTCCTTTGGGCAATATCCTGCTCCCCTGCTTCAACTGAGAGAGCACGAGGCATCCAGAAACAAGGAGAGTGCAAATAAGTGCTGCTGCCTTCTTGTTTCCCCAGGTATCGAAGATTGCCTTACACAGTGTGTGGGAATGAAGAGAGGAACCTCACATGTTTCAACTACGGCAACTGCACCGACCTTGGCGGGGAGCTGAGCTGCACGTGCCTGCCGGGCTTTGTGGGAGAACGGTGAGAGGCTTTGTCCTGCCCGTCCTTGGGGAGCACCTCTTCCAAAAGCTCTTCCAAGAGTCCAGGGGGTAACAGCCAGCCCTCTGGCAGAAATACAGACAAAGCAAATGTCACTGTGAGGAAGGTCCTTCTGTTCCAGGCTAAACAATAACATGCACAAAGTATTCCTTAATCTCTTCTAAAAGTAATCATTCTGTTCTCACCCTTCAGCATTCAGCAAGAAAGTGTGGTATACCATGCCACCAGGTATGCCACCTCTTACCATCCCTGTGATAGAATAGATTGTATATTCACAGCACAGACATGTGAAAATGAAACAGCTTTGCGTATTTATGTGCCAGAGCATGTAGCTGGTATATGTATATAAGCAGGATATGTGTGTTTGTGTCCCCACCTATGGAAGGCAACATTCTAAATTGTCATATGAAAATTTGGCACAGAAGCAAAAAAAAGGGACAGTGAAGCAAGCCAGCAGCACTGTTTAAGAAATAATATCTTGGGCTGAATTACTAGTGCTGCATTGGACTAAACCTTGCTGTGTTCATTTGTGATTTTTGTCTAAAATCACAATACTGCAGACCCTCGGAGTCACTCTAGCAAGGAACTGCTGCACCTAAACAGCTTGTAGCACAAATCACACTTAATACTGGCTTTCAAAGAGCTCTGGAGCAGGGAGGGCTGAGAGCCTCAGGGCAGGTATCAGGTGCTGCAGAAACCTAGGAAGGCATTGTCCCAGTCATAGCCTGAACAGGTAAGGGCATTTTGGATGGAGAGACAGGAAAAAAATCTATTTACTCCTGATGGAACTAGCATCACATCAGAGTATAATATCCAAAAGTTCAACAGGACCAAGCTGTAACACAGAGAAGTTTCCAACAAAAGGTTTTCATTCTCTCAAAAACTTATGAGCCCACTGATTTTGTGGAAAGAGTACAGTAGGCTATAAAAGACATGAAATGAAGATTTCCACCCACTCAACGCACAGTGCAGTTGGCAGACACACTTGAATTGCACTGTTAACAGCCAGGTCACCTGTGTACCACCTCACAATATTCAACAAGGGGAAAAGGATACAATAAAATAAAATTTTAAGCAGTAAAAGCATATTCATAGCCACTTCTGCACTGTGTGTATTTCTTGCAGCTTTGAGGCAGCAGAAAAGCACTTTTTTCCTTCTCTCTCCCTGCCAGCCTACCTGCTAACTGCAGCTTTGGGAATGAGCCTTCCTTCCATCCATCCCAGAGGCTGGCAGTAATCTCTCTTTTACAGTTCCCAAGGTTCTCGTCTGGAGCCTGTGCCCGGCGAGCTGCGGGGAGCTGCCTGTGGCAGCCAGGCTCTCTTCTGCAGCCTCTCAAATGGACCATTTGGCCTCTGCTCCTCCAGGCTGCCAAACCATAAACCAGCAGTGCTCCCGTGCTTGGGGGTCTCACTAGATCAAATGAGAACATTTAATCCCTTTTTTGTTCATCTTTTTTTCAGAACAAATTCAAATATATCTGTTAATAAGAATATTAAAACCAAACCCCTTTGTATATTTATGTATTAGACTGATAAAGCAGGCATTTTCTTTTAAGACAGTATTTCAGCCCTCAGAAAGCCACTCATACACAGTATAGAGAAATTCTATGCCAATCAATTAACTTGGGATCACATAAAAAAAAATCCCAATGGACTTAAGAGCAGGTGGAAAGGGAAATGTGTAAAGATTAATCTCCATAAAAGAAGATAGAGCTCTCTCTCAAAAAAAAAATTTGTCATTTAGTTCTGGCTGGAACTTTCAAAATTATGTAAGGGGAGTCAGGTTTTAAAGAGTTCCTGAAACTCAGTTGGATTACCCAATTCCCTGGAAGATTTGAAAAGTTGTTGGCTTTTTAAAAAATTTGCATAGGTAATTTCACAGTAGCTACACAATTTTTATACACTGGACAAATAACTTAGCTCTTTGAAGTATATGAATATAATTTACCATTTAAGGAAGCTAGTGAAAGAATATTTAGATTAATAGAGTAAAATTGTTTAATAAAAAAATGCTCTTCTCTGAGGTAAGATTAAAATTTTGTTGCTTGGTTATGAATATGACTGAACAAAGCAATTCCTTATAATTCAGAGAGAATTTCTCACATTCTTCTCCAAGTATAAACCTGCATTTTTGCCTGTCAAAAATAGGATTAACTGTTAGCATTATTTGGTAAAAGGGAGCAGGGAATTAAAAGAGAAAATTTTCAGAGCAGAAAATCATCAAATTAGTAGTTTTCAAATAGTCTTACACATCCCTCATTATGCTTCCATTGGCTGCCTTGAGAAATTATAACTCAAATTTCCGGTATCACCAGAATTAGCTCAAAGCCATTTAATGATACATATTAAGGCTTATGAAACCTGTCATGCACCATTCTTACCTTTTTTGGGACCCATCTCAGAGTGACGGGATAGGAAATTGGGCTGGGATCTATTGGCATTCCAAATTGAGGGAAGAAATTAAAAGGTAAAAAAAAACAAACCAAAAAGCAGGTGAATATTTCCAGGACCACTCAGCTGGCAAAACCACCCATTTGTTTGACTTATATCCAGATTACTGAGAAGGGAACTGTGCCCTCAGCTCCCTGGAACAATGAAAAGGACAGGCAAGCTGTCAGCAGGACATGCACCAGAGCTGGCTCTGAGATCACACAAGAACTTGCATTGCACCTTGCTAAGCACCATTAACCATGAGGTGATGAAACAACCAGGGATGAAATTACCTGCTTAACTGTCTGTGTTTGGAAATCATACAGGAAGTTCCAGGTTTGAGTGGGGCTCATCAGCCAGTTAAAAAACCATAAACAGGTGTGGAAGTAGGCCCCGGCGCATCTTCTTGCCCCTGAGGTGCTGAATTAAACGTGTGCCTGTTGGAGGCAGGGGATGCCTGGTTCCTGAGGCTGACTGCTTGCAGTCTTTCCTGCAGGTGTGAGAAGGACATTGATGAGTGCAGCTCTGACCCATGTCTGAACGGGGGCCTCTGCCAGAACCTCCTCAACAAGTTCCACTGCCTGTGCGACGTGAACTTTGCCGGCGACCGCTGTGAGATCGATGTAAGCGACCTCTCCTTTTTTGTCTCTTTGCTCTTGTGGCAGAATCTCTTTCAGCTTCTCTCCTATCTCATTCTGCGAATGGATGATGAACCAGCAGTCGAGTGGGGTGATCAGGAAGACTATTGAGCAGTCTTTAAACTTTTGTGTTTTACTGCAGCAGAAGATGCCTTGACTAACCAGCTTAGCAAAGCAACACAAATATCAGAGTTTTAAAACTTGTTTTATATTTCTTTGAATGGTTTTTCTATGAAACGCTTCAGATCTGGTTTAGTTAATCAATTCAGTTTTAGAACAAATTGCCAGCAGATTTGTTTGAGTTCACCCCACCTTCACCAGCGCATTTCACCACATGGGCACTGCCAGTGGGTGACAGTGGGACAACTAACAGGCAGCACAACTGTCACATTTACTGAGGGTGGCATTCAAACCCTACTGCAATGAGTGGCAGATTTGCTGCCGTCAGTAATTCTAATCTTAAGTTAAATCATCCAGGTGGTCACTATTTTACATCACACACCATGTTTATTGCTGTTCTTTGGCAGTTAGGCCTCACACCTGTGAAATCACGAGGGATATTTTTGGATAATTAGGTAATGGTTTGGATTAGCATTTAACAACATGCTGAGGAGGTTCCCACATCCATTTTAATTAGTGTCAATCCTGCACTGATATCACCAATCCTGATCCTCTGCTCCAGTAGCCTCTACACATCCAATGTACTCTACTGAGATAAAATCTCATCTTTACCAACATTTCCCCTTTCAAGAGAGGCCCAGTAAGTATCTCAGACTTGAAATCACAGATTTGTTGTTTGTTTAAAGATTTCTACAACTTTAAGTAAATCTGTTTTACTTATTAGTAGATCAGTGTCATCAGACAAAAAAAAAAAGATGGGATTTTTCTTTCTTAAGAAGCAATCAAAGTAATTGGGTTGGTTGTCCATGGATTCTTAAAAGAATGAAAAAAATGGACCTGAAAATTATGAGCACCAGGAGATGTAACAAAAATATAGCAAAATATCTTTGTAGTTGCCTTTGAGAGTGCAGACACAACTGAAATACATTGTTAAATACTAAACATTTGTAAAAAGTGAGGTTTTTTTTTTTTGTTTTTAACTATTCTTTAAGACAAAAACCCCATTTATGAATGGTGAAGTAATTTATTTGGACATTTATTAATATATTTGCATAGATTCTCTATCCCTTTTAGTCATTTGAATAGTCTCCTTGCAAGAGGATTTGAAAGAATAAGCATGTATAGGGTGGTGTTTTGTTACTCAGCTATATGGCAGGTAGCAGAGTTTTAAAGACTAACACCAGACTGGGAGTTTTCTGATTCCAAAGGGAACAATTGATCTTTTGGAGAAGTCCTTGAAAACATTGGTATCAGTTCCCCCCACTTCAGATCTGACCTTGTCCTCCCTAACTCGCTGCAGGTTGGACCTGGTACATCCAGGAAAAGCAAATCCCCCCTTTAAATCTCCAGTGACATCAGGACACTCTGAAATGTGTCTAAGTGGGATTTTAAGGTTTCTGTTTTGCCACAGCAGGATATGAATCAGACAGTGGATCAAGACTATTTTTTATTTTCCACATTTCATAAATGCCCCAAGATCTGTTATTTTTTTGGGTACCATTCAGTGCACAAATGCAGCAACGTTTGTGCTGTTAAAAACCCTACTCCTATTTTAGGGGGGAGGAAAAAAAACAAATAAAAATTTTGCACATTTGTGGAAAAAAGGAATTATGATTCATCCCTGTCACATATTCCTGTTCTAGCATCTGCCTTAGTATGAAAATTAAGCACAGTGCGTTTACCTATGAGAATTGTACACAAGGATAATATCTTTGCTGACTTTGTCATACCTGAAAAAAGATTCGAGAAATGGTTTTTGTTAAACTCTTATTAAATATAATCTTAAATAATTTTGTATTATATATATATATATGGGAATGCATGGGAGATGAAATTAATGTAGCAGTGTCAGAAAGAAAACTATATATACTATCAGATATAGGTTTAGTTTTCTTACTGGCAATCACATGTAATACTGGCAATTCTAGAACACAGACAAAGAGAGAAAAACACAATCAGACTGCATTTTGGATTTTTTTATTCCAATGAAAATACAGTTTTGGAAAATTGCTTTCATGTGGAGAAATTTAAAATAATAGCATCTTATGTTGGGAATTTCATTCCAAACTGTAGCTTTCATTCAATCATAGCTAAAACCATTTCTCAGTTCAGTATTATTGAAATGAAAAATAATCAGAAATAACTTGAAATAAAAACTGTCCTATTTCAGAATGCTAACTAAAGACAAAGAAATTTTAAAACTTCAAATGAAAAAAGTGCTGCTACTAATCAAAGCTGTTCAAATAATTTTTTTAATAGCTATAATTAAGAAAATAATGAAGTTTGGTTTGGTTTTATTTTCTCACTGGGTTTAGTTCAGTCTCCACATAACTAAATTGAACCATTATGTACTTTATAGAATATGCACTACAGGACACACTACATTAAGCAAAAATTTTATCATGGTCTTAATGCTGAAGAAAGGTAGAAAGCAATAAATGTAATAACAGTATGTCTGACATTAGACCTATATTCAAAATGTGAAAACAATAAGAATCCATTTGTACAGAGATTTCAATACTCTTTCTATTCAACACTAGACACTTGATATGAGTGTTTATGCAATATTAAACACAGGTTTATATTAATTTACAGCAATATGCAAATTATTATTCTAAACTCAATTAGCAGGGCATCAGTTCTCTTTTTCTTTTACTGAAAACACTCACCTGTAATTGAATTCTTTCCTTCCTCTAATGCCTTGTCATCATGAAACATCCCTGGCCTCAGAAATGCTGCTCTCTTCCTCTTTGTACTTCTGTATCCTCAACTGCATTGTGCACGTGTACATAAATTTCCTACCTTTATACACCAAATAAACCTTCTGCCTTTGTCTCTTTATGTCTGCTCCTCATTTCCTGCTGATGGCTCTGTTCATTTGCTTTCAGTGTGCCATGTTTTCTGAACACTTCACAGGAACACCACACACCAACCAAGGTTGCTTCATCCTGGAGTGTTCCAGGAGTTCTCCACATGTTCTTCATACATCTCCAGTGTTGTAATTGTACTTAAAATCTTTTGATATTTGATTTTTTTTTTAAATTAAGAACACAAACTCCCTGCTGAGTTCATGCTTTCATGGAAAATCAGTATTTATAAAAAAAAAAAGAAATATCAAAACACACTCCTACTAATTTGGGCATTGAGAAGTTGGGAAAACATCCTCTCAATATACTCAGAATTAGAGGGGGTATACAAGACATGCAAATGGAAGAAAGCCAAAAAGCAAGCTCATGATTTTTGGAGATATGGCTTGTGATGCTCCATGTTGGTAATATCTGTAATGAATCCCTCTATGATACTGAGACTCAAACTGGTTTTCAGATGCCAGGGACTGTCACTCATAAAGCTGGGTAATGAGAAGTAACAGTGTTTGGGCTTGAGGCAGAATTAAGATTTCTGAAAAGAGGGGGAAGACAGCAGTGATGGAGACACTGGAAGGGAGAGCAAAGGGATTTGCATCAGCTGTGGGATGAATTAAAGCATATTCTTCACTGTGCTTGCAAAATACTCAAGGGGTGTTTCACTGAGGGCATGGCAGATTGTCTTTACTGACCATTGTTCTTACTTCTGGCCCTTAAAAATCCAGGCTCTGACTGAGCACTCTCTGCAGCCATATCTTATGACAATTTTAACTACAAAGAGCCCATGTGTTTCTGAATTTGAAAATATCCTTTATATATGCTTATTTAGATTTTCTTACTCCCAGATTACTGAGGAAACCAGATACAATAATCATTTACTCACTACACATGACTACAGTACATTGGTGAACCTAAAAATAGGAAAAAATCTGCTCCAAACTAACAGTGATGAAATAAGATTTCTTTCTTTCTTTGCAAATATTTTTTCTGCCCTGACAGCCAAAAGTTCAGCCAAGGGGGCATTTTATGTCTTTATATTAACTTTCAGCACTTGAACGTACATATTTATATCTTGAGTTAGTGATTCTCCCTAAAAATAATTAAACTCTTATTTGCAATAAATTATTGAAAATTTCTGCTTCAAAACCCACAAGGCTGGTTCTGAGAACTATAACCCTAAAAAGGCAATGAAATAAAAGCTGCAGCAAATCATCTTTCTCTGGTACTGAGGTTACTATTAGTTGAAATGGATCTCCAGGGAGTAAAGACTAAATCCAGGGTTGGGTTGTTCATTTTACTTTGTGTTTCAGGAGTGCCTGAGCCCCATTAGACTGGGAGCACATCCTGCCAGGGCTGTGCCCTGCTGGTGCTGGCAAACAGCTCCAGCTGAGCTTTGGAATTGTTCTTTGAACATTGTCAGCAGCAGCACCTTTGGGACAGCACTCCCTCTCAAAACACACCCCCTCTCCTATTGTACGTGTGAATATCCATGAAACTTGAAAGTGGAGGTGGGTTTCATGTCCCAGAATTGAAGCTGTGCTTGGTTCACAGAGCTGCTGCCGTGTGCTGCACCACTGCTGCTTCCACGTTCTCTTCCAGCTGGTACCATTCCATCCTCCTGGGCACGAGGACAAGCATCATGCACTGGAGGTTATGATTCACACTTAATGTCATTAAAAATACACTGATAAGCATGTTGGATATGTTCAATATTGAATCAAAATTCAATAAAACTCTCTCAGGCTTCCATAGCACAGACACAGGGAATTTTGATTGAATCTGCTCTACAGTGATTAGCTAATGTATTCATTAACTGGAAGGGTTAGTAATATGAACGTAGCAAATGATACTTAATTACAATAATTAATGCCTGGTGATTCATGAATAATGCATTCCATAGCTATTTACATATTCATACTTATGAGGCTATTAAAGGATAATTATCATTTGACTAAAAGACATGGACATCAGGAATGTAACAACCAGACTGTTTTCCCCCAG